CTTCTTTGTGAACCACACGTGTCACGAGAGTTTCTCTGTCGAACGGGGCAAACCTCACAGGTTTGTCATTGACAAAGCTTGAGAGGGGCTGCTTTTAAAAGCAGCTGAGTGAGCTAGGAGAATGAAAACCTCCCTTCTTAGATTTATTAGCTTGCAATCTGGTCTTTGTAGTGTCTTGGGCCTTGACTCTGGAGGTTAGAATCAGAAGTGAAAATGGTTCAGCCTTTTTACCAAGATCCCATTTGCTCTCAAAGGGCCCGTGCCCCAGCCTGATGGGCAACTGAGCCAGCTCTTGGTTTCAGCAAACCCTGTACCCTAAACCTGGGTTACCTGCCCTGTATGGATTGTGACTGTGCGTAATTCTTCTCCAGTTGGCATGGAAGCAGCTAAGATGGGTTCTCCAGCACAACTAGAAGTTTAATACCTGAACAGAATTATAGCCTCAAATTAATCTGCACCCTCTGGATCACAGCAAACTGCATTGGTACATTGGTACAGTACACTCAAGGGTCTCCAGAGCCTTGCACAGATCAAGCCGGCTAAGCTGTGCAAAAATGTCAGTCAGCCTGGTGGATGCTGCAATCCAACACATCTAGCAGATAAAGAGATGGAGAGACCAATGTAAATCTGTGTGAAGCCACAGTCTAAGCGTCTGCCTAAGCAGAAGAATCTGACAAGGAAGAAATGTAGCACTGAAGATGTTACCTAGCCAGGTAATGAAATGTTTGCAAGAAAAGAACCAAGCTCAGAGAACCCCAAGGACTCCACCGAAAAAGTGTTATTTTATGCAGAATGTCAGATTCCTGTGCTTGAACAAAGTAAGGGGGGGGTGGGGGCGTGCATACAGTTTCACGATTGGTAGTACCACAGCAATGATATGGGGAAAGGTTTGAAAACTAAACTACTTGGGAGCATAGCTAAATTTGAAAAGCTCATTAGTTGGGAACAGCTTTCCCAACTATGCAGCACTGGGACCTCCGGTGACCAGAGTTTTTGATGGAAGCCATTGCTTTATCATCAAGCAGAAAGGCTGCCCCGATAACCACTAAAAGATCAGCTCATGTACAGGAACAAAATAGATGCTCTGTTTAGCCCTGTAGAGTAAGTGAAGTGCAGCCAAACAAATACTGGCTTCAAATTCTTAGGTCTTAGGCTGGTCCATCTTTATGATTTTGGCATTTGCTCTGAAAAATGAGAACCACAAGCAACATAAATGTGGGAGAAAGTGCCCTGAAACAGCAAAAATCAGCCACACCAAGCCAGGCCTCACCACTTACTTTTGTTGGGAGGCAAAGGCAAAAGCGTCTTGCTTTTCTCGGGAGACACCAAATCTTTCTGCCACATTCTCAGAAGTTATTCTGAAAAACAATATTCAGAAAATGTTCTAACTCACGGTTGCCCATAAATTAATTCAATTACTGCAATCATCACGGCTTCAAAAAGTAAGATTTCAGTAGCTAAGTAAGAGGGTGAAAGTGGAGGTTAGGAGAAAAGAACAACACTAAGTTGAGTTTTCAATTATCAAAACATCTTACCGCCTTTTTTTTCAAATATGCAAAATTGTGTATATTTGCTTCACTTCACGAGGACTGCGACTTTTTTCATAATGCAGAATGTGGACTTTTTTATTACAACACTGAGTATGATAGAATGACATCCCAACACGATTATTTATTTATTTATTTATTATTAAATGTATACGCCGCCCATCTCCCCCAGAGGATGACCCTGGGCAGCTCACAATTAAAAACCAAGGCATTAACACTAAAAATATAAATACCCTCCAATTAAAATCACAAGTAACCTAGAGGCGTGACACCCACCCAGGCATTACTCACTTAACTTCTTAGAGTCTTAACAATGAACAACTGGTATCACGTGCTCAAGATGAAAGGCAGTGGCTAGATTTAGTGGTGTCGTTTTTTTTAAAAAAAACATGGTTTGCTGAATCAGTGAACTTGGTTGCATTTGTACAGCATACTCAACCAAAACCATACAGCCCGCATTGTGCCCCAGGACAATGTGTAAACCCAGCGAGTGCCAGAAGTGGAGAAATTAGAGCCGCAGCCTCTTACCCCATTGGGATCAGGCAGTCTCGAGCTTTGCTGTTGTCCATGATGCGAGAGCTGACATCCCCAGGATTAGTAGCACTGCCGAGAGACATGCTCTCCACTCTGGAAGAACAAGAAAAGGTGTTTATGAATGTTCCTCATTTGCACAAATCATGCATGGATTCCTGAAAAGCTAAATGGGTAAGAAATGGATAAGCAAGCATTTTGACAGAAATAAGTATATGAGACTAAGTTACTGTACAACAAAAATGTAAATCTGTCTGAATGTGAAACTTGGACTGCTGGAAAATAGTTAACTAAAGCTTCAAGCCTGTATCCAGGAGAAAGTCCATTAATTTATTTGGATTTATTTCTTGGCAAACACATAGAGAACTACATTGTCAGTGCTATTTCAAGAGATCTGCAGATTCCACAATTTCCTCTGCACTACCAGATCAAGACTCTGAGCAGGAGACGTTTATACCTCAGGCATTCCCTACTTTAGCTTCAAAACAGCCCACTGAAATGTATTTATTTATTTAAAAGACCACCCAGCCCAGTGCTTGGAGGAAGAGCCGACTCTTTAAGGCGTTGTGGAACGCTGTGACAATAGGGGCCTGCTGGATCTCAGGGGGTGTTCCACAGAGACCTACCTCCTAGGCCCCACTGGATGACATCATTTAAGGGAAGGCACCTGGAGTACACCCACCCTATCTGACCTGGTGGAACGGGCAGATATTTCCAAGCAATTATTTATAGGAGTACAGCATTCAAAGTCAATAATGATATGGCAGCAATGTTTTGACATTAAAAAAAAAGTAGACACCACTCAGTGCCACTTAGGATACAGATCCATTTGTGAAATTTCCTGAAATGGCTCTTCTTGCTCAAACTTAATTTATTCAGTATTAAAGAAGTAGTTGCAAATGTCCCTGTAGCTCAGTTTTCGTAGCAGCCACTGGTCCAAAGTCTCAGCTATTAAAGATGAATGGAAGTCCTATGGCTGCTTGCCAAAACATTCCTCTCAAAAATAGTAAGGCACCAGCTAAAGCCACAGGTTCAGGAGAACTGGTGGAGATGCTAGCTTAAAACTGCAAGAGAACAAAAGACCAGGGGACTTTTCATCTTCAAGGTCTGTGGGACTGCCTTAACAGTAATGCTGAGTTCCAAATATTTGTGCATCTAAGAAGCAGAGAGGTTACCAGCAGAGGAGGTTGATCCAAGTATACAGAAAGGGCAGTTCTCAGATCCACTGGAGGAGCTGACTGTTTTGAGGTTGGACTGTTTTTGCTACATGTGGAACAAACCATCCTGAGATCAGAACGTTTCAGCCACACATGTTTTGTATACCTCTAGATTCTGGCCTACCATTAACTCCTTGTAGATCATGAAAAGCTAGTGGAAGCGTGTGCACTAGTAGAAGATTAAGTACAATCCCACTCCTCAAGATTTTCTTGGGTCAGTGTTTCCCCACAGCAGGCACCACACAGCTGCAGGCATGTGGCAATGCATACCTAGCATTGCACAAGATCAGGAAGCTCAATTCAGCCTTCACAGAGAGTCCAACTTTGTTCCTAAGATTATTCTAGTGCTTAATCTGCCAGCAGTGCCCCAGGTAATTGCACAATTAAAACCAAGCTACGACGCTTACAGAAGGCATAAAGCCACATGTGCAGGCACATCCCAATACTTATTTAGCTAAGCCATGGATTTTGTGTTCTGATACAGCACTCGAATATCAAAGAAGGCCTGCAGCTGATTTTCACAAGGCCCCGTGAAATAGATGGAGCAATTGCTTCACGTGGAGAGATCAGGAGGCAGCACCAAACAACACGGCCATCTGATTAACCCAACCTAGTTTTCAAGTGGATTACCTAAAAAGCTTGCTTCTACATTTATACAAAATGCCGTACTACAACAGACCATTACAAAAGAATGAACAGCATTTATAATATTTTTGCAAACTCTTGGAATTCTGTCTTACTAATACTGGGACACCTGTTCCTTTAAGTTCAGTTTTACAGATGTGGCACTGAGGCAGGATTGCTAACTTGCCAAGGCACTCCATCACTGAGGGGTCTCTGGCTGAAGAATTTCCAAGACAGTTTAGGAAAGGGCACTTCCTTGAGGCTGGTGTTTTGCAGCAGAATGCAATATTTAAAGTACTCTCTCACACTCCTGCAAAATGCTATTCTCGAGAAATCCTCTTCCAAAGTAGCTGCCTCAAAATACAGATTTTCATAATCTGCTTGAAAATATTACACGATGGCAGTAATAAACAGACAAAGGGCTACGATTAGTGAGCAGAAAACAATTATGATAAAAACAAGCTTACCCACAGGCCAAACCAATATCATAACAGCCATTTCTAATGCCACCTGCAAATAAAATGAACAAATTTTAAGTCAACCAGTGAACCCCACATATTTCCTCCTTGCAAGTGCTGCCAAGGAGGGCAAAATCAGTACATTCCCTCACTAAGATGGTAGTTTTTTCAGACAGTAATAAGACAGAATATATTAATTTCCTCCTAGAAAAATAATATTCCCAGAACTCTGTAGAACTTACTGGTACCAGGACTATAACTTCCTCTATAGAAAATATTAACAGACAATCCACAAACAACATTGAATTCTAGCATTTAAATCTCTACATGTCATAGCATCAGGACCTTCAAAAGAACTGTGTTTCAACTACTGAAATGATATATTTATTCCATGCATGGAATCTGACTATCACCTTCACACAAAACACAGCCTTCTTACCAGCAATATTGATCACAGCTTGCAACCCAGATGAACACTGCCTGTTAACACACGATATTGGGACAGTCTCTGGAATACCACTGAAAGAAAGAACAAAATATTTCATCAGCATAGAAAGGGGAATAGGAAAACAGCATCAGACCTTGGTGGAATAATTCATTTTAAGGATTTCTTATGCCTTGATGATCTTGGTTTGTGATCTTAGGAAGCTCCACTGGAAACAGTGTAACTAGGATCTGATGCAGTTTCAACTATATCAGACTGCAGTCCTCAAATAGGTTTAGGTAGGTCAGTGCTCTTTACTAACTGACTGAAAGTTGTCAGGCCTGTTTGAGATGCCAGGGATTAAACAAGGAACATATTGCTATATCACTTTCCAAAACTGTACTACAAACACCAAGACTGAAAACACTGAACACAGCCCAAGTGACCCAGGACTGGAACTGAAAGGGGATTCTATCGCGGCAAATTGATCTGCAGAACTACCGTTTGATCCCCACAGCAGGCCTTGGCTCAGCACAAAGTCCAAAGTCAAGTCATAGCAAGTGATAAACATAGGCACTCACCAAGCTCTATGGTCACATGAAAAATGTAATGCAGAAGAAGGTCCAAGGTCTCCCAAACCGCCCAGAGTTGCTGGGAGCTGGGCGGCGTGTACATTTAATAAATCATTATTATTAAGAATGGTATTTGGTCTTACATTATTTTCCTATCTGACAGTGGTGTCTGCAGCAAACCACAATGATGCCACGTTAACAGTGTGGAGGAAAAGAGGGGTATAAATCTAACCCACAAATAAATAACCAACCACTGATGCTGAAGAAGCTGAAGTTGACCACTTCTATGAAGACCTACAACACCTTC